TAAGCTTTTCACTATCTGATGATTCACATATGATTTAGTATGGTCACACATGTGATTTGCCATATTAGGCACACCAACTAACATTTCGCGCTTGAATTAAGAATGATTCATGCATGATTTGTCATTTATGTTTGTGTGAAGCCTTGACAAAATTTCTATGCTCCATTTCATGCAAGCTACCTTTGGCATGGCATGCTTGAATTGTCATTTTGTGTTCCCTTGCATTTTGTGAAGTGCTATTTCATGCTTGAATGAGAATGTATCCACGTGTGATTTGTCACTAAGTCTATTGAACACATTTTGTCCAAATAAGTCTCAAGCCATTCCAAGCTTGTTTCAACTTGTACGCTTGCATGATTTATCATCCATTGTTTTATATGCTTTCAATATTACAATTCTTGCTTGAATGCACATTGGTCCCATGCATGCTTTGTCTTCTAAAATGGTTGAGTTTTGTAACTAACCATTTCATGTGTGTGTGTTAGAGTACTTGACACATGATTCATCTTCTAGAATGGTTCTGGTTTTAGAACAATCCATTCCACATGTGATGAAGAGTTGGTCCCACATGTGATTCATCACACAGAATTAGCTATGGCATTTTGCCAGCCAATTCATATATAAGAACTTGATGGTTACGTGCCTGTTTTATCACACAAAAAGATTTGCATATTCTTATCCTCTAAAACACGCATGAGACACCTTGATGTTCATGTTTAAATTGTCACATATGCTTGACTGAATTAGGCAAGCTCTATTTCACATGTGAAATGTCTAGTTGCATACAAGAAATGTCACTAATGGCTAGAAACATCATTCTAATGGTTTATCAATTGTCAAAACTATATATGTAATACAATTCAAGTCTATAACAAGAATTTAGATCTCAAAGTGAATTATTCATCTCTTGAGCATTATAAAAAGCTTTCAATTGTGCCTTAAAGTTAATAATTCATTTTATCGTTCTTGAAAAAGTTTGTGACAAAGCTCTCACAAGTTTCTAAGCTTTCATTTGTGATCTGTCTACTCTTCGAGGGAGTTTTTTTTATGAAAGTTTTATTCTTAAGCTGAAATCTTGAAAAGGAGTTTTTTAAGTAATTTGTAATAACTTATTGGTTATAGCATGGTTAGAAACTTGCTATAACCCACCGATATTCTTATCCCAATAGCATGCATTTTATCATAAAATAAAATGAAGAAATGGTCCATTTACCAAGCTTAAAATTGGTCTTATTTCATTACATTAGATTTTTACCCTAACTTTCTCTCTCTAAGGGCTAAAATTGAGCCTACAGGTTTGAAGCTCTATCGTTCAACTCTAAACTAGCCACAATGCTTTAATTTAACTCCCGAGAACCTTTTTATTACTATTTGGCAAGAATCAAACCCCTTAAATTTTACCGATTCAATTTCCCTATAACTCATTTTAAGAGAAATTTATGTAGAATGGAAGGTAAGAGTTATACGTAGCTTATCAAACAAGTTATCAATCCTAATCACCTTCCACCACTCTAAAATGGCTTGACTTAGCTTCTCAGGCTTTTACCTCTCCTCTCTCCTATGTTTTTTAGATTTTTACTTTTGAAAATCACCCAATTTCATGACTTAATAAGTGATTTTTTAGTCTATGCGCACAACGCATGCAACACAAGCTGTGATGAGTGGCACAGTGAGATTTATTCTCACCACACACACTTTCTTTGACCTAAAACACACTCCTCTCACCCATATCTGTTCATACAACACACAAGTAAGTCAAAATACTAATTAATCATCCAAATCTCTAATCTCACACTAATTTTTACTTCACCCTCGATTAACCTCTAAACTTAGGTATAAGAAATTCAAGATGTTACACCCAGGATATGTGAGAATGTGTGTGTGTGGAGATAAGTGAGTGAAAAATTTATATAGTCGGGCTGGCACTATGGGACATCTAGTGTTGCATTATACATGATTTTATAATGGGTAATCTAGTATAACATACTATAGGACTATAACTATAGGACATCCATGTAGTCTGAGAACTCCTTAGTGCTCATTAGGGTATAGTTAGGAATTAACGATGCCTCTATCATAAGTGTGTGAAATTAGGGAAACCATAGTCTGTAGGTGAGATAGATTACCTTTAGATAGGTATTTCTATTACTGAAAGTGTACTCGAATTAATGAGTAATTGATCCATTAGATCCTATGATTTCATGTCGGGGAGCATTGGAGGTTTAATGGCTAGATGATCATGCTAGTGTGTATTTATGTGGAAATACTTTAAAAGAATGAAATTTCTTCATACTTTGATATATACCTGATATTACCCTAGTTTTGTTACTTTGGTATGGTTATTTGTGACAATAGACATTTAATGAACTATATTGGTTACTAAGATTTTTTCCTCACCATAGTTATTTATATTTTTTTTAGGTTTTGGTACTAGTGGTTCAAAGGGAATAGACATTAGCTGAGTTGAGATCTCTCATTAAAGCCTTTATAAGAATTTAGTGTAATGAACTTGTATGTTGATAGTTATGAATGTGTATAAGTTTTCATAGCATTCGATACATATGCATATAGTCATGATTATGACATGTTTTTGTGATTTTGAGCTCCCTAGCCCATTGTATGTGTATGAATGGTGTAATGATTAAATAGGCTAGTGGATGAATGTGAATATGTGGGAATATGGGGTGTACTTGAAGTATATGTGGAAAATATATAGCCTTGTATGAGATTGGAAAGAAGAAATGAAATTTTGCCTAAATGTATAGATATGGATGATTTATAGGCCAAATATATATATGTGTGTTATATTATCTATATGATTGGTTAATCAAGTGTATATTATCCAACTAGATATGGTCAAGGCCCCAAAAGCGACTAATGACATATAGTTTCGATTTGGGATGCTCAAGTGACAAATTTTAATTTAATATGGTCAAAAAATACATAGGCATCCAATTTTTAAATAGGATATTGGATTAAAACAAAACTAATGTCATTAGTTAGAGAATGAAACAAGCTTCATGTGGGTACTTGAACCACCTAAATCAGATGTCGGATGCAAAAATGACGCACATCTGAAGCTCGTACTAGAATTTGTAATATGATAGCAAATTCAAGTATGTGTGCTGCGGCGTATGTATCCACATGCCATAATGTATGACATAGAAAGTCATGCTATGGTCTTTGTGCCACATGCCGCAGTGCACATGGCACAAGCCACAGCACACATCCCATATTTTGACTTGATTTTATTAAAATGTACATGTTTTCTTGGTCTTGGATGCACCATTGCATATTGATTCTACTTTGTAATGTTTTATAATTTGAGTAATTTATGAAATGATTTTGATATTATTTTGTTCTGGGATCCTAAAGTTTTTAAAATAAATGATTTTAGATTAATTAGTAAGATGAGCAGAGGGTTGTATGGTAATGTTAGTGAGGGCATTATACAAAACTCCAATTGCAGCAAACTACTAAAGGGAGAGGTGTTAGAGAACTACTATCCTTAGCACCCAACGAGGTATAATGTTGAAGATTATATTCCTTAACATCTATAGGATATGGAGTTGGAGTAATAACACCCTAATTACTTGTAATAGGAAAAATCTATATTCCATAAGTAAAATAGGATACTTGGGCCAAGTAGTCCTATCATGGATAGTAAGCTAGGACTAAATATGTGATTTGGTCCTATGAGTAAGCCTAAGGTTCAGTGTGGAGTAATAGAGGACTAGAGGGATACAAATCATGCATTACTACATAAGTAATGTTTCATATGCTTAAATGGTTTTTATGATTTATTACTCATTTATAGCTTGCATATTAATCAAAAATGTATATTATCTTGTTACTGAGCTTTTTATCTCGCTTGTGGTTACTATTTTATAGGTGTTAATTCAAGCAAGAGTCAAGGAAAAGAGTCAAGCAAGGATTATTTACCTAGCTATGGTGTGATGCTTAATTTTTTAAATATGAGTTTGTGCACATATATGTGAATGTAAAGTATTTTGGTCGCCAACTAAGAATGAATGATATTTTTTTCTTTGCACTTGTATGCGAACATATTGTTATGTATTTTAGCCAAAGTATGTGTATATTGTGAGTATGCGGTAATTTTGTAGTGTAAGGCTAAGATATTAGTACAAGTACATGGATAATGTGGTTTGTGGTGATAATGTAAGTGGTGACAATAGTTGTATATGATCCTCTAAGTATTATATATGTGTAAGTAGTTGGTGATGTAATATTTTGGCCACTGATTATGTGTGTATGTGGTTGGTAGTAATTGGCCCTATTGTGATCTCAAGGACCAAAGTGGCCATTATGATCACTAATACAAAAAAGGACATAAATGACAGTTTTTTTTATTTTGCCTATAAATGATGGTTATGGACTGTCATTTATGACCCGATCATTAAAGTTTCCCCAAATAAATGATGATTATTTACCTGTCATTTATTCATTTGTACAAATGATGGTTAAATAACCTATCATTTAAAATATATTTTCTATATCTTCTGTAAGAATAAATGACGGGTGTTTAAAATATATTTGTCATATATTTTTTAGTTACAATAAATGACGGTTAAATATTTGCCTATCATTTAACTGTCAATTATTGTAACCAAACAATATATGACAAGTAAATATTTACCCATCATATATTTTTTTGGTTACAATAAATGACAGGCAAATATTGCCCATCATTTATTCTCACCATAAATGATGGGCAAATATTTACCCATCATATATTCTATGGTTTTCTTTAAATACAAGTATGTTATTTATAGTAGTCTCCTTATAACAACTATATAAATAATAACCAAACAGCAATTTCAACATTTTCATACATGAATATCAATTGAAATTGAACTATAATCAATACAAAATGAAATAAAGACTAATCTCTTATTCTAAACTATCAAGTAATTAATGTATAGAATTTTTTAAAGGAAAATAATTTACCAACTAATATCAAGTAATGAATGAACACTAATCCTTCTTGCACTAAGTCTATTGATGCATCTTTGTGTAATGACCATACTTGAAATATGTACTGGCACCACTCTTTAATTACCTCATTTATTTGTGCATGACCAAATTCTTCATTGTAGGAATCCTCATAGTACTGTAGTACATAAATTATCCACCATAAATATTTTTTTCATAAATTAAATTCATTAGGAATTATAAAGTGAAAATTAATTGTTGGCATACCATCACAGGAATTGTGCTCTCATTATAGATAATGATGTCTTTCATGAACCTCATAACACAAAAGCCACAATCCAAGCTATTTTTCATTTGTCTTGGGCACTACAAATTAAAGAACTAATGAATACATATTAATGCATTAAAAAATTCTGAATATTTAAATTAAAAAATGATATTAATTACCTTTATTTATTAAATTCCAAGTGTAAGTTGCATCAAAATTTGTAAATGACCTTGGAATTGTTTGTTTAATGTTTGTGTGGTACAACACAATTGCCTTAATAAAAAAAGAAAAAATATGTCAATGTAGAAATAAACAAATAAATATATTAAATACTTATTTTCTACACTTATGTATTAATCAACTCCAATGAAATATATCTATTGTTTGGTTTCCCACTAAGAGAATCGAGATAATATATCCTTGAAGTGCTACCATACAGTTTAGTGGTAATCAACATCCAATGGTCCCAAATAGCATTAACAAGTGTTATATAAAATTATAACTAATTGACTAAATTAATCTTAACAAATCCATTAATATAAGTAAGAAGTAGGTTACCCTTGACAATATGGTATTAAGAATAATGTCCCCTTTTGAGCCTTTACTTTAAAATTTTCACTTAATTACTTGGCTTGATCTAAAATCTTGTCCTTTTTAATTAAAGCATGTATGCCAACCTTATGGGGACTAATAAAAACGAACTTCATTTGTAGGCTGAAAGGGACAATACATTTTTCATACAAGCACCTACCATTAATATTTCAAATGGATTATTATATATTTAAAATAATAACTATTCATGTATGAAAGATAATTTATCGTATATGAAAGCTGAGAATAGTGAGGTTGGTCATCTCATGCTGCAGCACTTCATTTATAATATTGAGCAAAAGCATATCATATCATGGTATACTATATATTCTTTCCTTGAATGAGATTTGCAAGATTAGAGGATTAGACCTATGAATCATTGCATACACCTAAAGTAAATTTCAATGCTGGCTTGACAATTGAGGCTCTTGTTTAGGCATAGTTGCATTCGGGACAATTTTTGAGGAAAGCCTAGATTAGGGCACAATCTTTTTCTTGGATTATGCATCTTTGTTAGCTTTTTTTGGACTTGGCATCTTAACATCGGTAGCTTGCCATCAAAGCTACCCATTGCCACTCCTACAATCTCTGCATCCTTGATGGGAATAGGTAATGGATAATTGAGATCTTTAGGCACATCAACAGTAATTCGTACATAGGATGTAGGGAGTAGCATATTATGTAATGTGCCTCCAAGCATAAATATCAATATTTGTCATGTTGTTTTATATGCCCAACTAGGTGTAAATAAGTCTATTGGACTTGATTCGAGCACTTGATTGTGAATTTGAGCACTTTGATATAAGGAAAGTGTTTTGAAATTAACTTCATGTGTTTGGGTGTCTACATTTTGAATGCATCATTAGATCAAAATAAAATTTATGCCATTAGTTAAGTTATTAAATAAGCTTCATGTGAAAATGGTACATGTTGGAAGTTTGATCAAAAAAGCTATCATGATAGGGCATATGCGCTATGATACATAGACAATACATTATAGCACATTGAACAGGTGAGAAAATGACTTCTCTTTGTTACATGCCACAACAAGTGATCCATATGTCACGACGTAATATCCCAGTTAAGCCAATATCTTGTTTTTGGCTCTTTTATCTAGTGTTTGGTGCCTTCTTTGATTTCTACACCTCTATTATGATTTTGAAAGATTATGTTTGAGCTCAAACACCTTTTAAAAATAGTTTACAAGATCTTAGTGATTTTAAACATGTTTTATCTTCTTAATTTTCTTTAAACTCTTCTGATTGATTTATGGCTTAGGAATGCCTAATGTTTCCTAATTTTTGATGTGGTGATTGTTAATGGTGAAAGACTTTTATTCAATTTAACATATCAACCTTTGATAGTAGTATGAAAGAAGGGAATGTTAAGTAGTGGATTGAACATCTCAAGACTATCTATGAGATGGTGGTCTGCACATCTGAGTAGAGACTGATAGTAGCTATAACACAGTTGGTTGGGACTGTAAAGAAATGGTGGGAATCTATTAGGCTAGTAGGTAGTGTTTAGTTGACTTGGGAAGAATTTAAGATGTTCTTTGATTATTACTCTTCAATCTCATCCTTAACTCTAAAAGAGGAGGAATTTCATCCATTTAGGTAGGAAGATTTAAATAAAGAAGAATTTATCAAAAGGTTCAATGACTTGTCAGCTTACTCTAATCATCTTTTGCATGACAATGGCATGAGGTGGAAGGATGGGTTATTGTTAGAAAAAATGTGACCGAAGTATCAATAGCATATTGCCTTACTTGATATGACTATGTACGAGTAGATGTGTTGTAAGCCAAGAGTAGCTACCAATAAAGGTTGAGAGATGATGGGATAGTATGAGAAGGTTTTCATCCCCATTGAGTCTAATAGGCAGGGTATCAAAGAAGCTTGGGTATAGTTCTTATGGTTTTAGTTTTGCTAGAAGGTAGGGTTTTACCAAAAGATCTTAGTTGTAATAACCCTAAAATTTTAAATAGAACAAAAAATTTTCCCTAATAAAAATTTTATTTAAATAACTTTTATAGCAATTAAAAAGGGTAGTTTATATGAAATTATGCAAAAACTTTTGCAAGGATCTAGAGTCCAACTTTTCTAAGTAGAAGTTTGGTTTTAAATTATAGAAAACTTTATGTCCTTTCTTGTAATTTTCTTGTTCCTTTTATTGTGACTTTCTTGTGCTCTTTTTTGTAATATTTCTTCTTTTACTCTGATTCAGCTTGTTCATGCAAATAAAAATAGAGCATCTCGATCTCTCTTTCTCACCGCCATCTTATACTTCTTTAGAGCCTCACATAGTCGAATCATTTATCTAACTCTTGTCTATGTCCTTACTTTATTGTTGGCTGAGCACTTTCATGCATGGTTGTTGTTGCTTCATTTATTGTCATCCTCATCACTGTCAGCCTCATCGTTATCATTGATATTTGGTGTTATTATGAGGTGCGTAATGATTTATTTCCTATCTTGCCATCAATTTGTGCACTCACTACTACCTTCTTCATCCTCTCCATTTTAATTCATTTGACATGGTGAGGGAAGAGGTTAAAGTTTATGTCGTGCTTCTTTATTAAGGGTTGTTGGTAGTGAGTAGGAAATATAATTTGTTGCTTTCATCTTCATGAACTGAATACCTATGCACGAAGGAAGCTTAATATTTTTCTTCTTGTTTTAGTCTATGAAATCTGTTCTGTCTTCTTCTCTTGGGCTATTTGGGTTGTAGTTTTTTTTTCTTTTTGTGTTGTCTGTGAGGCACATGTGTGAGTGGCAGCTATTATTATGTGTTAATCAAGGTAATATGTTGATTTTCCTTTCTTTTATGAGTGTGGATTCTAGTATATTGTGCGATTTACTCTTCTTTCTTCAACAACCAAAAATGTGCTCTGTTCCCTATATTATTGCCTTAAGATGGTAGAAATAATTGGGTGGTGTGAATTAGATACTATTTTAGTATATGTTGAGCTAGAACATTGCAAAAGAAATTAAAAGATGGAAATTATTAGTTTTACTTGAATGCTTGCTTCATGATTTAGTATGGTCCATGTTCTCTTGGTAATTGTAAATATACTTGAAAGATTTATGGGTGGAAATAAAATTGTCAGAGTTTATAATAAAGCCTAGAGAAATTATAAATATTCATAATGCCAAGACGATTATTGGGTTATGTGTTAGATTAATTTTAAGGCACCATTGCAATAAGCAAGGAATTGTGGGAGTCGGACTGTAAGATTTTGAAAACTCAGGTGAGTAGGTAGCATTCTTAATAAATCTTTAGTGAAGTGTTTATAAAATCCTTTATTTAAATTTTACTATTAATCCTTTATAAATTATACAAGTATCATTGTTAATCCTATTTTTCTTCTAATAAATGTCTTATCAATAAAAATGTCTTGATTTTATGAATGAGTTAAATTGTTGATAAGTAATGGGAGAAACATACATATGATTAATGATGTACATTTCTAGTAGTTTAATTATTGAATTTTATGTTGATATAAAATTTTAATGTAATGACTCATGTATAGAGAAAATAATGATTGAATTAGACAATAGAAAATGATGGTTGAATGGTATTTGATAGAGAAAATTTTGAAAATATTTTCTCACTCCATACATGCTTGATTTTATTGAAGAAGACTGAGTTAAAAGTGCTAGATGCTAACAGCAGTCCTATTAGCCCTTAGCATGCCATGGTATACTTAGCTAGTAGGGTGCTTATAGGAGGTGCTAGTTTTATACGATGGCCAACGCATATGGAACAGAGGGATGGTTATTCATGAGTATCATACTCATGCTTGTATTCATAGGCTTCAAGCCTATGCTTGGTTCGTGGCTCTTGCCACACTTGTTTTATTGCTTTCAGCTATGCTTGATTAGCTACATACCCTTATGGATTATGTGTCCATGCTTGATTGATTATTTTCCTTTATGGATTGTGTTTCCACACTTATTATTCATTCTGATAAAGCCCTTCTAGAAATTCTCTAAAAGTACTTTATTAAATTGTATTAATTATAAATCTTTATATTTTATGAGTAGTAGAAAATTTTAATATACATATGTGATTCTGTCAACATTGTCTAAATTCACAATCACACTACTATGAAGAACCATTATTTATTCTTAATTTTGGATAATTCATTATTTCATTTAAGTTATTTGAAGTTAAATTTATTATTTATTATCTTTATGTTTTCATTATTACAATCTTGATTGGGATGCTACTTGCCAGTAAATTTTTTTAGCCTCCAACTGACCATTGAGGGCCCTTCTTTCTTTTTAGAAAAAGGAAGCACATGGTGATTATTCTTTTTAGTGAAATCTTATATTGTATTTTGTAAATTATAAGTTAGTACTTCACGTATACCATAGTTAGATTGTAGTCTTATTTTGTTATTGTGAAAATTGCTAGAATAGAGATAGTCTCCTTAATGGTCTAGTTGGCAGATTTTGTTGTTGTTGTGGAAATTTTAAAGGTCTAAACTATAAGGGAGACTCTATCAAAATTTCTACAAAAAAACTTTAAAACATTACAAACTTTACTATTATATATATATATAACTTGCATATATCACTATTTTAGATTAATTTCTAGTAAATCAAGGCTTATGGAATATAAGTTCGTTTCATATTCCATGCCGATCATACCCTTAGTATCAAGGCGTGACACCAA